GAAGGGATACCGCTGCCGGGACTCCGACTACTACTAACGACTGCAACACTCGTCTGAACAAGGACCACCGCTGCCCGTCGGAAAGGAATCGGCTGCTGCTCGCTGAAAAGGGCCGATTGCTGCTTGTCTGAAAATTCCGGTGTGAACCCGGTGTGAACGGGTGCTCCCGAACGGCTTCTGCTCGCCGTTCGGATCGAGGATGGCGCGACTTCAGTTCTTAAATTGGGCCGAAAATTTTAATAACAAGGAAATGGGTCAACTTAATTATTAAAAGAAAGAATTTTGAGCCTAAATATTCTAACGGGCCAAATAGAATTCAATGGAAAATTGGGTCTGGAGCTAATTAATCAATTCGGCTGAGAATAAATTAAAAGAGTTGGAATTTAATAGCACATAAAGGTCGAAAATAATTCGACTTTAGCCGAAACAAAATTATCCGAAAGGACCAAAAATATTTTCGATAAATTAGGCCGATAGAATAACGTGATAACAAGTACTTCCGATTGATACGGTTAAACAATTGGCATGCACAATAATAAAATAGCGCGAATTATTAAATCAATTAGACGAGAACATCCAATTAAAATAATAAGACTAACCGAAAATATCGAACAGTAATACAATATAGTCAATTAATTCAAATAGTAATAATATAATATTGAGAAAATTCTAATAAACGAATGGCTTAGATTAGAATTACGCGATTAAACCAAAATTGCCGAACTACGAACGTTTTAAAATAAAACGATCGAGTACTTCAACATAGAATTTAAGTCGACATCGCGACTAAAACAATAAATATAATCTTATAAATAAAATTCGATAAATAGAATAATCCAAGAAATTCTATAAATCGAACGGGGCGCTACAGTAATGCTACTAGGAACATTGACCATTCAGTGGCGTTGTACAATGGTACACATTTGGTTTCCTATGTTGTGACGATCAATAAGAGTCAATGCCTGACTCTGTCACACCTTGGCCTGAAGATACGTGTTTCAGTCATGGACAATTGTACGTGGCTATTTCTAGTGTCACGAATCGGAAGAGTTAAAAGGTAATGATATGTGTTGATGGAGATTCTGACGATAGAAGAACCATGAATGTTGTATATAAAGAAATTCTTAATAATATTTAGAATTTTTTTCTTACATCATATTTTTTTTTAATTAAATTATGATTTTGTATTTTTTTTTTATTTTTTATTTTTTCTCTTCTAAGAATTCGCCTATGTGCAAATACACTAGTGTTGTTGTATAAATAATAAATTATTAAATTTATTATATCATAAACGTGTACGTAATTAAAGATTGTTTTTTTATTGCACTTCTACTCCACATGAAATATTCTCACAAATCACAAGAGAAGTAGAAGTACTATTGTGCACTTAATTGCATGTGTGTCTCAGCTTGGTGCTGAAAATCAGGTTAGATAACTTAAAGAACAAACAAAAAGTTACCCATGAAATTCATAATTAAAAACAAAAATGTAGGGACTTGACCAATGAGCTTCTGGTACTTCACATGCTGTATGAAAATACTGATTAATTTCCTATAGTTCAAAATTTAAAGCCAACATCAAAGGGATCTGCTGAAGCACCGACTTGAGACATACATAAATAAAAAAAGTTGTACTTTGCACCGAAATGAAAATGCAATTTTGACCATTTAATTTCTCATATATAGCTTGAAAAAAATGTCTTTTTCTTTTTTAAGCTGATAATGACATATATATTATATGCTTGATTCTTAGGATAGCATTACCTTGTTTTCGTGCTTACAGGTATGCTTCTCTTGAAAATTGGTATATATAGCTTGTGGTCAAAGTGACGTAGACTTACATAAAAAATTATATATAAAGGCCTTATTGCTGTGTTAACTAGTTAGAATCTATCAATTTAATATACAAAGAAACAATTCAATTTATTTGAAATAGTATCTAAAAATTTAGGGAAAAAAACTTTTTCCCATCTGAACTATCAACTTTTTTTCGTTTTATCATATGAACTTTTATTTTTTGCAAACTATCATCTAAACTACACGGGTTTGTCAATATACCCCCCATACCAGTTTGAAGTCCGATTTCACCTGTTTGTAACCGATTTTGAGCGTCATATAAATACTCGTTTACCGGTTGACAGTTGCCCTACCTTTCTTTCCAATTTCATTTCACCCAAAAAAAATAGAGTTAGAGCGAGCGAGCAATTTTCCTTCTCAAATTGAAATTATTTGCCTTGTAATCGAAATTCATTTCACTACCAAATCGAGCACTCTGTGGGTAGGAATTAGATTTAGCACAACGATGAGTTGGAAGTTGCGGCTAAAATCGACCCAGTCAACAGGAGCTAATCACAATTGTAAATGTTTGATTACTTTTTACTCTCCAATATGATACTGATATGAATAATCATGCTTAGTTTGTTATTTGTTTTCTNTGATACTGATATGGATAATCATGCTTAGTTTGTTGTTTGTTTTCTGAGGTGTTTTTTTTTTCATTTTCTAGGTAATAATGCTGAAGGTTTTACGATTGCAATCAATTATTCTGGTAAATTTGTAAGTGTGGGTCGAAATGTGTATTGTGGTGGTTCTATTGACTTCATTGACAATTGTGAGGCAAATATCATTTCAATGGTTGAGATAATGTCTATGGTTAAAGATATTGGCTTGGATAATGTGGGTAAAATTTTCTATAGAAAAAGAGAAATGGGTGATTGTTCTAATTTGTCACTACTTGAGAATGATTTAGATGCTAAGAATTTGGTGCAATGGTTGGATTCTGATAGAGTTGTCAGTTTGTTTGTTGAACATGAGCCCCTTATTTGTAGTGGTAATCAGTCTGAGCTTCCTAATGTTGATGAACCAGTGCCATTTGTTGGGAATTTAGAAAGTTCTGAGGAGAGAATCAGTCATGAAAATGCATTTGTAGGTAGTAATGAGAATCAGTCTTGTGGTTTAAGTAGCATATCTGCAAGATGTTATTGTTGATAGGGAAACAGATGAAAGTGATAGTGATGTTGATGATCATTCAGGTGAAAAAGTTAGTGACTCAGAAATGTCTGATTATATAGGTGAAAGTGATTATGATGTATCAGATGATGATGTGCTGTTTGATGGTGGTGTAGATGTTGAAGTTGAGTTGGGTGGTTTGAACTTGAGAGAGAAGAAAGGGTCAGAAGTCCATGGTAAGTTTTTTGTGGGTGAGGGGAAGAACAAAACTCAGATGCATGAAGGTTATCCTGTTTTTAACCCTAAGTTAGATGGAGAAGACCCTAAATTTGAGGTAGGCATGAACTTTAGTGATACACCTACCTTTAGAGAAGCTGTGAGACAACACTCTAGGAAACAAGGTAGGGATATTGCTTTCACTATTAATGAGAAGACTACGGTTCAAGCCAAGTGCAAACAAAAAAAATGTCCCTGGGTGATTTATGCCTCTAAGAAGCAGGATGAGGACACAATGGTTGTAAAAACTTTTAATGGGAAACACAGGTGTAACAGGAAACAAAAAGTTTCTCATGCTGGTAGTGATTGGCTTGCAAGAACCTACGAGAATAAAATTTGGAGTGATCCAAATTGGCCAGTAGATTCTATGATGATGGTGACACAGAAGGAGCAGAAACTTGTTTTGAGCAAGAGTATGATGTATAGGGCCAAGAAGAGGGTTCATAAAATGGGAAGTCTGGTGGATAGTGAGCAATATGAATTTGTTGTGGAGGTATGCAAAAGAAATTAGGGACACTAACCCTAACAGTACAGTGAAGATCAAGTCTAACTTGATTGATGGAAAACCAGTTTTTAGAAGATTTTACATTTGTTGGGGATCACTGAAGATGGGGTTCTTAGAGGGTTCCAGACCTCTTATATGCTTTGATGGTTGTCATTTAAAAAGTTGTGCAGGGGGTGTGTTGCTGAGTGCTGTAGGATTAGATGCAAACAACAGGATGTTTCCATTTGCATATGCTGTTGTTGAGAAAGAAACAAAAAATAGTTGGGGCTGGTTTATGGAATTTTTAGCCCAAGATTTGAACATCAAAGAAGCCCACATGTGGACAGTTATGTCAGATAGGCAAAAGGGGTTAATTGATGCAGTGAACAGATTCTTCCCTGGTTCTGAACATAGGTATTGTGTCATGCATCTGTACAGTAACTTCAAGCAGAACTACAGGGGATTGGCCCTAAAAAGTATCCTCTTCAAGGCAGCAATGTCATCAAGGGTGGTTGATCTACAAAAGGCTATGGATGAGATGAAAAATAGAGATGCAAAAGCATTTAAATGGTTAGCTGATGTTCCTCCATGTCATTGGTCAAGGTCCCACTTTTCAACTCATAGCAAGAGTGATATTCTTTACAATAACTATAATGAAAGTTTTAATTCAATGATTTTGATTGCCAGAAAGAAGCCAATTCTTGAACTCCTAGAACATATTAGATTAATATTGATGAAGAGACTGCATGAGAGAAGGGATCAAATGTTAAAATATGATGGTGATATCTGTCCAAAGATTGTTAAGATCTTGGAGGAGCTGAAAAAGAGAGCTTCAGATTTTTTTGCTCATTGGAATGGTGAGGATCAGTTTGAGATAGAGAATGGGATAGGAACCAGGTTCAAGGTTCATTTGACAGAGAAGACTTGTACCTGTAGAAGGTGGGATTTAACTGGTATCCCATGTGTTCATGCAATAAATGGGATTTTTTACTTGGGGAAGAATCGTGAAGATTTTGTGGATCAATGTTACAGTAAGAACACATTTCTAAGGTCACATTCACATATGATGAAAGCCATTAATGACTCTGAAATGTGGCCAGATGTGGATGTGCAACCTCTTGTCCTGCCTGTGATTGAGAAAATGCCTGGAAGACCAAGAAAACATAACAGAAGAAAGGATCCAGATGAAGGTAAAAGAAATTCTGGTAGACCATCACAAGGTGGAAGACCACTTACCTTAGGCAAAAAAGGAGTGAAAATGACATGCTCATACTGTGGACAGAAGAACCACAATGTCAGAGGTTGCCCTTCTAAGAAGAATGAGAACAACCAAAAGGTATTTTCATTTATGTACTACTTATAATAAATTCATACTATGATGATATTCTAAAATAAATTTGATTATTATATGTGTAGGAAAATGAAAGAAATGAGCCCTCACAAGCATTTGCCTCAGTGGACCCTCAGCAAATGGGCCCTGCCTCAGTGGGCCATGACCAAGTGGGCCCTCAGCAAATGGGCTCTGCCTCAGTGGGCCATGACCAAATGGGCCTTCAGTAGATGGGCTCTGACTAAATGGACCCTGCCCAAATGGGCCCTCAGCAGATGGGCTTTGAGCAAATGGGCCATGACCAAATGGGCCCTTAGCAGATGGGCTCTGACCAAATGGGCCCTGACCAAATGGACAATGACCCAGGCTTGGATGAGATTTATCATGTGATTGATGAATTTGATGCTTTTGAGGCATCACTGCCCAATAATGAACAACCACTTGCAAGGGTATGTTTGACTTTTTACAGTACATTTTGAATGTTTGAAACCCTAAATATTGACTGACTAACTAATAAATTGTGCAGCCTCCTCAGAGTAAAAGAAGCAACACCTCAGAGAAAAAGAAAAAGCAAGGAAGGCTACTCAAAGTCGAGAGAGAACCACAAGGTCTGCCAACACCTCAATTGAGAAGTCACAGACCCTTACCAAGAAGACAAGAGAAGTCTCAACCCAAAAAGAGTTGGCCAAAAGCATCACAGTGACAAGACCAACCACAAGATCCAAGAAGAACATCAATTCCACTTCAACTACCAATTCCAAGGCTAGTAAGGTAACTGGATCTATTAAATGTAGATAAAATTGAGTCTTTCTTGACTAATTTTATATTCTTATTGATTTTCTAGTTAATTTGTTGTTGTAGTCAATTGACAAAGTCACAGGTACTGAGAAAATTGTGCACACACAGAATTCTCAAACCACCAAGGATGTTCAGAGCACAAAAAGGACATTAGGTCTGAAAAAGAAGTTGGATGTAAGTATTTGGATGCTTTCTTGGTTAAATTTTGTTTGCACATATTGAAGTTGTACTTAAAATCTTTATTATTGTAATTATTGTTAACCAGGTGAGAAATATGTCACAATCTCAAGGTCAACCATCCAATTCTGCTCCTGAGGTTGACAAACCCATATGAAGACCACCTGGGAGGTCAATCACAGATGTTGCAAGCTTCTCAAGAATGTTTGGTGGAGGATACATGATGAGTGGAGGAGGGATTGTAGTCAGGCCAGACCAATCAATTGTTAGAAGTGAAGGAAATGTTAGAAGTGAAGGAGTTGTCAGAAGTGAAAGGATTGTCAGAAGTGAAGAAGAAGTGCCAATTTGTAAACAACAGTAAACTAGGCTTGTTCTTATTTTGTGGCTCTAAAGTAGATAGAGCATGCTTTGTAGTTGGTGTCTGTAAGCATGATTTGTTTTGTGTTGGTGTGGGTTGGACAAACATGATTTGTTTTGTCTCTTAACATGTTAAGTTGACTTGGTTGTTGTGATCATGTTTTGTTAAGATATTGTGGTTGATTTTGGGATGTTGGGGATGTATGATCCAAACAATGTATGATCTTTGTTGGAAATTTAAGTGTTAGTATATTTTGGTTGAAAATTTAAGTGTTAGTTTATTTTGGTTGTTTATTCAAATGGCACCAACAAGCAATGTGCACAAAATAATTACAAAAACAGCAGGGCATTGAAACAAAGTGCATTGCATTCATGAAAAAGAGACACATCCATTGCATTCATGACCAATACACCATAACATTACATTGTCCACAAAATAAAAGAGATGCTTCCATTGCATTCACAAAAGAGACACATCCACTGCATTCACAAAATGGCCAACTACAACATTGCATACCCATTACACTTCAAGTACATCTATTTCATCTTGTTTCAGTCAATACTCAAACACACCCATTACACATAACACTTGAAGAAGCATAGAACAATCAAACCAACAATTGCCAACAACATGAGCCTCTCCCATTTCTTCCTTCTTGCAATTTCTTCTTCCAATTTCTTGGTCCGTTTCAGAAGCCCAGGAATGAGTTGTTGTGCTCTATAACACATTGGAGGGTCAACCCAGACATGGTATGTGCACCCAACCAACATCTGGAATTCGAAAAAAGGGAAAAAAATATTGATATGAGTTGACAAACATAAAAGTTGAAAGAAGATGTACAATTAAACTAGCAAATTCAATTAAACTAACAAATTTGAAATCGAGAGAAGAAATTGAGTCAGTCACCCAGTATTTCTCGCAGGCCGAGTACCTCCGATCCGCATTACCATCAGCCCATGACGTCTTTTGCAAAGCAGGCTTCCCACAGCGGCAGAAATCATCGATTAGCTCCTCGGAAATTTGCTTGAACATTTTTTTGATTCGAAAATTGGAAACCCTAGACCAAAAGAGGGGAAAAATTGGAGAATTCTGAGAAAATACCTCACGCAAAATGACCGGTAACGAGTATTTATATGGGCTCAAAACCGGTTTCAAACAGGTGAAACTGGACTTCAAACTGGTATGGGGGGTATATTGACAAACCCGTGTAGTTTAGATGGTAGTTTGCAAAAAATAAAAGTTCATATGGTAAAGCGAAAAAAAGCTGATAGTTCAGATGAGAAAAAATTTTTTTCCCAAAAATTTATCGAGGGCATCAGGCGCGTGAAGGTGGGGCTACTGGAAAGGGATGAATTTCTTCGTGGGCGGAAAGAAATTTTGAAGAGAAAATTTTTAGGGTCTCGTTTTTTTCTGAGTTATGCCTATGCTATCTGTACTTTGTAATGTTACAAGGCCAAATATAGCATAAAAATGCAATAGTAAGAGTACTAATTAATAAGCCAGAAAAAGAAACCCTATCCCCTTTCCCCTTTCCCCTTTCACCGCCGCAAAAGAAAAAAAAAAGAAATATCCTCAACGCAGCCCCCCCTTTTCCGGCGGCGCACTCCCGTGGTCACCGGGCCGTTCTGGCCAAGTCGCGGCTGGGTGCTTCCTTTCCGCCTCTAGGAATTCTTGGGGTGGTTGGCCAGCGGCGATTTTCGCTCCTTGGTCCCTCCCTCGTCTTCGGCGAGGTCGTCGGTTAAGCTTGAAAGGCCCAGCCGCTGGAGTTCGTCGGTCCGTTTGGAGGCTCGATCTGTGCGGCCATGTTCTTCTTGGAGACTAATTTTGGCTTGGGCGAGCCCAACTCGCGGCCAGTGCGCCCCTGTTCAGCCGGGCTACATGCCCTTCGGGCTGGGCAGCTCGGTTTCAGGCTGTCGTCTCCTCGATCTATCCCTTCTAGTCCTCTGACGGGTTCGTGATGGTTCTCCTTTTTTATCCCTGCGGTGAAGGTCTTCCGGACTCAGATTTGGGCCGAAAATTCGTCTAGGCGGTAGAGTGACCGCAGTTTTCGGGTTTGGAGCCTAGTTTTGGTGTTCAGTTGGTTTTCTTTGTTGGGGTGTGACTTGGTAGACGGTTCAAGTGGTTTTGGGTAGTTTCAGCTGTTAGGTTGAGGGGAGGTTTTACTGTATCTTCTTGTTTATTAGGTGTGTGTTGCTTTTAATTTTTATTTTGTTGTTTTGTTTCGTTTAGTGCAGCTGTGTCTGCTTTTAGTGCAGCTTTGTCTGCTTTTAGTGCATCTGTGTCTGCTTTTAGTGCAGCTTTGTCTGCTTTTAGTGCAGCTTTGTCTGCTTTTCTCTCCTTTATGGAGTTTTGTTTTACGGGTGTTCGCCTCCTTGATGGAGTTTGTACCCCTTGTTTGTATCGACAAGGGGGTTGGTCCAGTTTTCTGGTTCCAGTGTGTCACTTGACACTTCGGTTGTACTCGTTTTGAGTTTCACAACTTGTAAAAAATTATCAAAAGTAGGACTTTTTCGCCGGATTTACTATTTCCGGCCTGAAACGCCACGTGGCGCACACGTGGCTTATTTTTTTACACGTAGCATCCGACATGGATAGGAAAAAATTCAAAACTAGTTCCACAAGTATAGGGGGATGACATTTTTTATCCCGATGGAATGCAGAAAATTCAAAACTAGTCCCACAACTTGTAAAAAATTATGAACACGTCGGATGCCAGCGTGTAAAACAATAAGCCACGTGTGCGCCACGTGGCGTTCCGGGCCGAAAATAGTAAATCCGACGAAAATATCCTACTTTTGATAATTTTTTAAAAGCTGTGGGACTATTCATATTTTCTGCATTCCGTCGGAACCAAAATTGTCATCCCCTATACATTTAGGACTAGTTTTGAAATTTTTCCCCTATTGTTACAAGGCCAAATATAGCATAAAAATGCAATATTAACAGTGCTAATCAATTAATTAATTAATTAAGTATACACTATAGTGACATTCGTAATATAATTATCGGAATTATACATTTAGGACTAGTTTTGAAATTTTTCTCCTATTGTTACAAGGCCAAATATAGCATAAAAATGCAATATTAACAGTGCTAATCAATTAATTAATTAATTAAGTATACACTATAGTGACATTCGTAATATAATTATCGGAATTAAGTAGCAATGTAATGTCTTCTATTATTGTTCAGATACCCAATTAACAGTCAACCGCTAATAGAATCAATTTGTAGCACACACCATCCTAAGTGAGGACATTTATTACCAGACAGCCAAATCTAGCTAATTAGATAATCAATATGGATTTTACACACTATATATGAATCTATGCTTGTGTATGACATTAGATTGGCATTAGTGTTTGACTAAAACATAGTATATACTAATATTGACAAACATATATATGGCAGCAGACAAACTAATCGTGGGTTGGCTTAAATTTTCCACGCCGAATGAAGATCTAATGTATTTAGAAAAATGGAAAAGCAATGTGGCGTTATATGGGTATTATTCAATTTGCACCGAAGCTTTAAAATATTGGAGGTACTTGTATATAATAATTCCTAGCTCTTGGTAAAATATTCTCTAGTCATGAGTAAAAAATTCACAGTTACATTAATGTAGAGTGTTGTCAGTATTTTTACCAGAGTAGAATCGAAAGATTCATCCTCGGGTCGTATTGCAAGGAAAGTTAGCTGGATATTCTTGTGCGTATATTCAATCACGAAAAAGTGAAGAAAAATTCCTAAACACTCTAATTCAATATTCTTTGGGTTTCAATTACCAACTACTGATTTAAACTGAATAAAATGAAAGCAAAATAGCAAATGAATTTACTGAATGATTAAAGTGTTAGGGAATCGGGGATAATTGCTTTCGGTTCTATCACAATCACCGGCAATCAATTGCTCGGTTAAAGGACTTGAATCGTTTCTCGTTTAGAGGTTCACTCTCAATAACTCTTCGTAAAAAGAGAGTGAATGTAAATGATCAACTATCAATTCCAACAACACATAGATAATACGTTTCCGAACAAATCTATTCTAAACGAGCCTAATTCGACCAACGTCTCCCCTCTCGGTTCTACACGTTGATTATCTAGGTTAGAAAGGTGATCAATCTACTAACTCTATAATTCACACAACTCGAATAGATATGAACAATCAAAAGCGTTCAATTATAACGAACCTAATCAATCATCCCCTATCCCTAGCGAATGGATTTAGCTACTCATATGGAATTCAACATCAAAATTCATACAAACCCAAGCCATCATCATCAACAAAGCAATTGAGAAAAAGAACTTACGATTAATAGTGAGAATCCCAATGTCAAATCCAATGAACAATCCAAATCCAAAGCAAAGAAAAGAAGTTTTTCAATCTCCAAGACAAATTAAAAGTGAAAAAGTAAGAAAAGGAATGAGTTTCTCGAGAGAAAAAATGTAAAAACAAAGTCTGAAAGTGGAATAATGAACCCAAGGATCGAAATCTGCTCTAAAAATCCCATCCTCGAAATTCGCGTCGGTTAAGTCGCAACTCGCGACTCAAGTCGCGAGTCGCGCGTCTTCAAAATGTTAAACTCCTGGGGCTGGTCGCGACTCTTGCTCGAAACTGCACCTTTAGCCCCAGTTTTTCTCGCGAGTCGCGACTTTTCTCTCGCGAGTCGCGACTTGGACTGCATTGCGCAATTTTACGTTTCGGGCTCGTTTGAGCTGGTCCGAACTCGGAATTGAGTTCTGTTTTTTGCTATGCGTCACCAACGAACCCCTCTATTAGAATATGCGCTCGAAACAAAC